GACTGATGCTGGTACAAGCACCATCGACAGAAGGGGTGAAAAGCATACATTCCAAGTCAGGAACTGTGGCGACGGACAATGACTTGGATGAGTGGCAGACACATTTCTGTAAGCAATTTCAACATCTTTTTCGCAGGGTAGGGCGCATTCGAAATTATAAGGTGCAGGCAGAATTCTTCAAGAATCTAACTCCAATTCAACAAAAGGGTAGGCGAGTACCCATAACATTACAGGAAAAAGTCGATAAGGAGATTGAAAAACTGTTGGAACAAGGTCATATCCAAAAGTTGGAAGAATGTTCAGATAAATATTTTGTTTCACCTATTGTCATCACAGTGAAAAAGGACGGCTCTGTAAAACTTGCACTGGAATCTAGAGAACTGAACAAGCAAGTGCATAAGAATAAATACCAAATGCCCAATATTGAAGAACTAATGGACATTATAGGGCAAACTATCAGAGAACGCAAACAGGGGGATGTTTTTTTTTTACAACGATGGACCTCACGTACGCATACGGTCAACTTCCTTTAAATGAAAATACTAGTAAACATTGCAATTTTTCGTTGGTGGGAGGCCGCTCTACCGGTACATATCGATTCAAAACAGGATTCTACGGATTGACAACCATGCCGGCGGAATTCCAACGGGTCATGGATGCCATTCTGGCTGAATTTCCGTGCGCGCATGCTTTCATTGATGATATATTAGTAATTTCAAAAGGTACCAAGATCGAACATATCGCCTTAGCGGAGAAGATTTTAACGAAATTAGATAAAGAAAATATGGCTTTGAAACTAGAAAATGTCAATTTGCGAAAAATACTTGCGAGTGGTTAGGCCACCGGATTACGAAATCAGGGATTACACCAATGGTGCGGAAAACAGACCCAATTGACAAATTAACCGCCCCGAAAACGCTCTCACAATTGAAATCGTTCATGGGGTCAATCCATAGCCTTCACAAATACTTACCGGCGTTAGCAGAAACTTCGGCGCCTCTACGTCCACTTCTAAGTAAGAAAAACGAATTCCTCTGGACAATTGACTGCCAAACAGCGTTCGAATCGCTTAAGAAACAAGTCGCGAACATTGTCGAACTTAAGCATTTCGATGTACATAAGGACATACGTATCGTGTGCGACGCAAGCCATAACGGTTTGGGGGCGGTACTCGAACAACTAGGCGCCGAGGGTTGGCGACCAATATCATTTGCGTCCCGTTTTCTAAATGCGGCCGAAAAGAAATATTCGACAAATGATCTAGAAATGCTGGCCGTAGTTTGGGGTTCCGAATATTTCAGAAATTATATTTTCGGGCGGAAATTTACTGTGGTGACAGATCATAAGGCTTTGGTATCTTTATTGAATGGGAACAATAAGAAAAACACGACTATGTTCAGTCGGTTAACTCGTTGGATCGATAGAATTATTCCCTTTGATTTTGTCATTCAACACATGCCTGGGGCTAAAATTGGCCTGGCGGATTATCTATCAAGGCATCCGGTGGGGGAAGCAACGAAAGTTAGTCTTTATGATAACACTTTCACAGTTGCAAAATTGCAATCAATCACCAATTCACTCGGATATATTGATACCAATAAAGGGATCATTAAAGCATCAAAGAAATCAATTGTTTCAGCTAAAGATATACAAGTTGGAAACGATAAAGTTAACATTCCACCGGAAGAGGGCGTCAAAACGCGTGACTGTCGGCCAACCAATCAAAAGCCAGTAAAACGAATAGCTGAGTGTAATGACCGGGAAAGCGCAAAAGTAGTAAAGTCAATCACCGAATGTAAACTACGTGAGTCTGATATTAATTTCACAGTAAACAGTAGTCCTCCATTTAACAAATCAAGTTATCGATCTAACAAAATACATATATCTACAATGACATCACTTAATTTGAAGAAACTAAATAAATTACTGTTGAAACATCCAGAAATAACAAGCGGCAGCAGCAGCGAGGTGGAAATAGTGGACGCACGATTGGAGGCGGAGACACATCACACTCGGGACATCCGATGCAACACGGTCATCTCCATTCCTTCGGCATTCGGAGGCGAACTCTTTCCGGCGGCATACCCAGCAGGAGGAAACGTCATTATGTCAGTAATCCCCCGGGACTGTAAGATCATCCGAAAAAGCAGTGCATTGCCGGAGCTATTCAACCTGAAACTAGTTGAAGCGAATTATAAAGGGGACCCCCAGATGCGCGCGATAAAAGAACTGGTGGAGAGTAAGGACCCGGAACTCGAAAAGAAGGTCAGAGCAATGGGTGCCTACCTCGGACAGCACACACATGATTTCCACGTGCGGGAAAATTGTCTGTGGATGGACGAACGACTCGTCATCCCCATACCACTCAGAAAGGCTGTGGTAAATCGTATACATGCGTTTCACCATGGGCGCTCGAATATGTTCGACGCTGCGAGGGATGTCTGGTTTCCCTATCTCCACCGGAGTTTAGTCGCAGCTGCGGATGGGTGCAAGGAATGCACGGATGCAGGTAAAAGCCTTAAACCATTATGCGCTAAAGGTGACGTTGGGAAAGTCTATGAACCACGGGAGCCGAATGAATGCCTACAGCTAGATTTTTGGGGTCCGATTAGATACTTAAATGAATCGAGTAAATATGTCTTGGTAGCGGTTGACCGATTCTCACGTTGGCCCTCTGCAATGATCTGCGGAAATAATAAAAGCGACAAGGTCCTTAAGTTCATTAAACAATACATATCTCAACATGGTGTCCCTAGGAAAATTTTCATGGATCAAGGAACAAGTTTCACATCGAATGCAGTTAAATCATTTTGCAATTCCGAAGGAATAGAAATAATTTATTCGCCCGTAAATGATCATCGAGCAACCGGGTGTGTTGAACGTACCATTGGTAGCCTGAAAAACTTCGTCTTAACTTACGCTAAAGAAAAAGATAGTGGAAACTTAGAATCAATGATAGAACGAGCCTTGAGTGCTCTAAGATTTGCTCCGAATGCTACTCTCAAATTATCGCCGTTTGAAGCTCATCACGGCAGGGAAGCAAATACGGTACTTCGAAATCTTACGAAAAAGCCAGCTCTGCAAAACCTAAATTGGGCCAGAGTGTTGAAACAAAAATCTGCCTATTTAGATTCTACTGACCCCAGAACTCAGAAAAACCTCCAACCCATGGCAACGGATTGGGAAGAACGATCCGACGTGGATTTCGATGTCGATCATATGAATCACCCTAGGCGACTGACACAGAATCAACTGGTTTCGGCGGCGGATGGAACACCAATGGCTGACGGGGACGGGAAACAGGCTTCTGGGAAAAAGTCTAAGCAGCCAAGTAAACGGACCGAGCTGTTGTTCCAACGACTTAAGGATAGCAATAAAAGGTATAGACCCATAAACCAAAAAGTAATTAGCGAATCTAAGCACACTCTAACTCTAGCAAATGGCTCTGTACTTAGGAAAAGTGGGGTTGCCGAGAAAGTCATCAAGACCAACGCGCCAAATATTGCGAGCAAGCAAACACTATCACCCCCAGCCATAAGTGCAAGGAGTCGGGCGGAATTGAAACGAGCAGCAAACGAACAGGCGGCGGGGACAAGCACACAGAGTAAAGCAAGCGCACAGAGTAAGGCTGATAACAGAACGCGAGAATTTTCACCAGCGGAGGAGGCAGATTCGGATTCGGAGTACGAGCCGATAACAATTTCTAAATACGCAGGGAACTCAACAACAGCACCACGGCGAAATGTGGAAGGAAATGAACCAAAGGTGCCTAAAGATGTAGAAGACGGAATTAGAACACCAAACTTATCCGAAGGAAGCGGAGCTGAAAAATCCAAGGGGGTGGACACGGAGGTCCAAACTATGAGCACCGAACAAGGGGGAAGTGCCCCAAATTTGCGTAACGAAGGACAAGGGGAGAAACAACCTAAAAAGAAAGGGGAACGAGTACGACGCTTACGTCTCGTATCATACTCTAGTCAAGAATCAGAAGATGGGACAGGATCAAGGAAAAGTACCAGGAAACGGACGGCGGTATCCAAATTCGGCGGGGTTATGATAGACAGTATATTGAAAGCGAGAACAACCAAAGGAGAGGAAGACAGAGAGCGGGACACTAATTAAGCAGGAAGGCACACTTGAAAGAGGGAGTGAAAAAGGAAACTAAAGAAAACTTGTTAAACTAAAACTTATGCCCAGGGAGAGGGTGGACTACTGCTGGTCCAAAACTCAAACATTTTCCGTTGGATAATTTTTAAAACATTTGTTTGAAAAATGATTGTTGAGGGAATGTCATATATAGTGTTCCTAGTATCTAACCATATATTACGTGTTGGCGCCATTGGTTTAGCTATGTGTTTGGTGCGGCTATCAATTAATTAATACCTGCCAACCTTAAGTTTAGTCTGCGATGTTTTGAGTCATTGTTGTTAACCATTTAAGAATAAACGAGTCAGTCTTAATTCAGTGAAATAAAGATATTGAATCTGCATTTTTCACACTCTTTTGAAAAAAATCGGTATATATTGGCGCCATAGGTGTATTTGGAAAATTGTAGGAAGGTCTTAAAAGAGTACCAAAGAGGGGATTCTTAGGGTAGTCATAGGGGGTCGAATCCCTGAAAAAACCGTCTCTTCCCCTCGCCCCACCCTCTAAATCCGCTACTAAAAGTATAATTTTAAATCAATGTCAGTACTTTTTATTTGAATTGTTGTACGTATACTTTTTTATGATAGTTACTTGATTCTATTTCACCCAAGTCAATAGAAAAAATTGAATTGAGCAATATGTTGAGATACTAATTCGAACATTTTCATGCTTGCAAAAAAATGAAAATCAAAGGTCAAAGAACAACCATCAGAACAACAAAACAACAACAAAAAATAATTATGAAAAATTAAAAAACTCTTGTTCTTTTCTATATTTTTCTTCATTATTTGATTCAAAAATGTGGTTTGGTGTGAACATTTTTTGCAACTTGCACGTCAACCATCATATTCTTTCTTCAATCAGAGTTTGTACGCCTTTTATAAACTTGACATCGTTGATTCAAACGCACTATTTACCATATATTGATTGACCGGTTCCAATTGTATGCTACGCTCACAAACTGATAATTGCATACCAACGTTAGCTGCAGTTAAAACAACCGTTGTTAGCTCCCGCCTACAATTTAAAGAAAGATTAGGCGGGCTAAACAAATTGTCAAATGCCATTTTCTGTTTAAGTTTTCAGAAACGCTTACTATACTTCAGAAATTCTGAAATTCTATTATTCTACACAACTTTGATTTCAACAATCTGAATTGATATTAGGGTTCAAAATGACGCTGAAGTTCGGCTACTGGAACCTTCGAGGTATGGGCGAACCCATTAGACTTCTTATGGAGTACCTCGAAATTCCCTACGAGTGGAAAGAATACACGCCGGCCACAGCAAATGAATGGTTCGAACAAGACAAAATCAATTTAGGCATCGATTTCCCAAACCTGCCTTATGTCATTGATGGAGATTTCAAGACTTCCCAGACTCAGACGATCTTGAAGTATCTCGGCAGGAAGTACGGAATGTTCGGAGGACAAACAAACGAAGAAATCGCGAAGCAAGAAGCTCTGATGGACAATGTTTTTGACTTTCGCACCCGATTTGCGATGATATGCTACGGAATTGGAGATTTCGAGGCGAAGAAAAAGGAATTCTTGGACGCTCTTCCAACTAGACTTCAGTACTACGAAGACTGGTTGGCTTCGCGAAAATGGCTGATCGGCGATAAACTTTTCGTCGGAGACTTTCTCTTCTGGTCAGGTCTGGACGCTATTGCATGCCTGGAACCGAGTTATCTAGACAAATTTCCAAATGTGACAAAGTATAAGAAGGAAATTGAAGTTATACCACAAATTGAGAAGTTCCTGAAAAGTGATAAGTTTGCCAAGTTTCCGGTCAATGGACCTAGCGCTCAATGGGGAGGTGGAGCGAGCGGATGATAATACTAACAATAATACTAATTAACTTCGCTTCTAGCTTGATTTGACTTTACTATGCTTCAAATCGAATACATTTAAATAGTAGCGTAAATATTTGTCT